TATGCTGTCCCCTCCTACATCGAGGGGCTGACCTGTGTGTCTAGTAGGGTGTTGCAAGTGACACAATGTCACTTTCAAGAGAAAGGTATAAAAGACAGAGTAGCCTCTACTGTTCTTTCTCTTGCATCATTGGTTCCTGGAAAGCTGTTGCTTTGTGGGGACTTTTGGGAAGCTCTCTGGAAAGTTCTGGAATTACGGTGAGATGCAGAGGTAGACCTCTGGTCATCAGCCTACACCTAATGTCAGTCACATGAGTGGGTTCTTCGGAAGTGACTCTTGTAGGCAAGCTTTCAGATGACCATAGCTCCTGCCCTGGTCAACTTTTGATTGTGACTGCCTGAATGGCCCAGAGCACAGCCACCAGCCAAGGCCACTCTGGGTTTCTTAACAGAAGGAGTGTAAGGTGGTGAATGGCTATTGTCTGAACCATTATTTGGGGGTGGGTGCTGTTTCACACAGCCATAAGACCTTGTACAGTACTCCATGCCTACCAGCTCCCTTTCTCCTGGGCTGAGGTATATCTTTGTTTCCAGGACAAAACTTGTTTATCTACTGACGCAAAGGTGCCTCTTGGTGGCTCTGATGTGAACCTACAGGTCTTGATGGCCATAGCAGAGCCATCAAGAGCCATGTTTTGCTCTATCTATGGTCTGGAAGGTCCCAGCTATCCCCCTGCCTCATGGAACCAGCAGCTTTTGGTCTGCACCCGAGGGCTGATGTGGCCGTGAAGGACTCAGTCTAGTCCCAGAGCAGTGATGACGGGGACGTCTCGGGCTTGTCTGAAGAGTGGCTGTAATTGGAGGTGAAGCAGGGATGTCTGGCTGGACCTTTGTGAATGTGGAGGGGAAGATCTGTCCTCTCCGCTCCTGTGGTCTTCTCCCTCTTCCTCAGCTTGGCCTGTAGGCTGCTTGAGATGCTTCCTTGTCTCTCACTTGGTTCTCCAGCCCCCAGCAGGAGGAATTGAACTTCATAAAGAGGTAGACAGCTAGATAGATGTGCCCTTCTAGGTGCCCCTCAGCCTCACTGGGGAGGAGGCGTGACTTCTGTGGGTCACCTTCTTCTTGCTCCCAGGAGGAGCCTGAGAAAGACAAACTAGTGTTCTCAGCTTCCCCAAGGCCCTGCCACCCACACTCACTGCACATGTTTAAGGGTGGCTTGGACCCAGCCAGCCAAGGCACTGTGGCCCATGTGCCCACAGCAGCAGCTTGTGAAGGCTTCTCTTACGTGTTGACTGCCTCAAGGCTTTCCTATATGCTGTACATTTTCCTAACCATGTCTGGATGCCTGCTGTGTTTTTAGACATCAGGGATACCAGGATGAAGGAGATGTAATTCCTGTTTTGTTTTTTAATTAGTCAGAAATGGACACACAAACAATTTGTCCAACAGTGGCTGACATTTGTAGAATCCTCACTTTGTGCTTTAGTGATCAGGGTGATGGAAAGTGTTGGGTGAGGGAAGTGGGAGAAGACAGGCCGGATGGAGAGGGACATTTCTGCAGATGGCAACCTTGTCACAGAAGAGACACTGCATATGAGTCCTTGGGGGACCCAAGTTCTCACTGCTGTGCTTCACACCTGTCCTACTTTAGGGCTTGCTCCAAGGGCCTTGTTTATGAAGTGTGCCTGTCCCTGTCCTCTTTAGCACTGAGGAACCGGTCCCCTGAGTTTTCAGAGGTTTGTTAGAATCACCGGTAAAACTTCTCAGGCTTGGTGCCTTTTTGAGGGTGATGGTGGCGGAGAAATCTAAGCTTATCATGTAAACTCTTTCGCGTGTGCTTATTGAAGCTCTGTGTTTCTCTTTCGCCAGAAGCACCTTCACCCTCCTTCCAGTCACCTTCTAAAGCCACCAGCCAACTTTCTAGACACCCCTGGTGTGTTAGGTGTATTTTGAGCACTGGGGATTGATCAGGAAGCCACATGAAATCCCTCCCTAAAATACACTTTAATCATTATGGTGGTTGGAATGACAAAGGCCCCCGTGGGCTCAAATATCTGAATAATTGGTCCCTAGTTGGTAGAACTATTTTTGGAAGGATTAGAAGGTGTGGACTTGTTGGAGGGGGATGTGTCACTGTGGGTGGCCTTTGAGATTTTAAGAGCCAGGCTCAGTGTCTCTGTCTGTCTCTGTCTCTCGGTCTCCAACTTGTGGATAAGATGTAAGCTCTCAGCTACTGCTCCAGCACCACCCCTGCCTGCCTGCCGCCATCGCCCCCACCCTGCTCATCGTGGACTCACCTCTGAAACTGCAAGCGAGCCCCAGTTCAGGGCTTCCTGCTAGAGGTTGCCTTGGTCGTGGTGTCCCTTCACAGCAATAGAACAGTGACTGAGACACCAGTGTAAATGCAGCAGGAAAGGAAGGGAGCAGGGAGGGGTTTTAGAGGGTGGTTGGAAAGGGCATCTCGGGAAGAAAGTTGTGTGATCGTCAGGAAATCAGCAGCAGCAAGGGCAGTGGTCCTGGGGTAGAAGTATGCTTAGCACGTTTGAGAAACATTGAGACTGGAACAGAACAAGAGAGGAAAGGCCGTAGGAAGTGAAGAGAGAGGCAGAGCGCCGTCCTGGGGGACTCAGGTCATGGTGGAGACTTTGGATGTGATTCTAAGTGTGAAGGGAGTCCTGAGAGGCTTTTGAAACAGTGGCATCATTTCCTGCATATCTGCATCTTAACTTGCCCACCGTGGGCCCCTGGAGCAAGAGGGTTAGCAGGACCCACTTAGAAGTTGTGTTTGTAGCGGGCTGTGAGTCACCAGCTGGGAGTTTTCTAGGGATTTCTGGGGACTTGCTTGGAGGGTAGCCTGCACCATCCCACCACGTTGGAAGCACTTCCCTTCGGTGTGCACATAGAATCTTCCACCTGTGTTAAGGACCCCCACATCTCTGGGTCGCCGGGGTCTTTGAAGACCTCATAAGCCAGAGGTGTGGAGCTCTTCCCTCAGCACCTAATCCTGGCTCTGAGGGAGTCAGCTGTATTCTATGTTAACCTAAGCAGCTAGCCTAGGGGATTGCAGTATGGAGCTCTCAGTCCTGACCCTGGGGAGACTCAAGACACACCAGGCCTGTCCCACCATGCTGTGGGGTGCCCAGGAGACGTGCACTGAGACCTTTCCCTCAGGCTTCCCGAGGTTCGTGCAGTCCCCATGTCAGAGCTGGGGAAGCATTTGGGGTCAGTCTCTGCCTGCTCCAGGCCCCCCTGTGCCTGCTCCCTTCCTCCCTTCTCTTGACACACACTGTGGAACAGCGTTGACCAGCTTGAGCCTGGAGGAATGGAGCAGAGTTTGGATCCAGCGTCATCACCTGTGTGACCTGGGGACCAATTACTAACCTCTGTGGGATTTGGTTTCCCCACATGTAAAATGTAGAGCAAAGGTTCAGATCAGTTCATCTGCATGTTATGAGCCTTGGTCGTATGGCCCAGGGTGGCCCTGCCCCTGGCCAGCCTTGAGTGATTAGTGTTACATGGTGGCCTTCTTGAGCTTTCTGGGATGGCTGCCCTGATCCTCTTAAGAAGAACATTCCTGCATGATGGGGAGATTATGGTCATAATCCATTTGTCTTTACCATTTACGACTTGACTAGGGCCCTGCCATATGCTAAACACCATTTGTGTGTCATTTATGTAGTCCATGGAAAAGCCTGGGAGGTATGCACTATGAGCTCCCCAACAGTGTAGGAGAAAACCCAAGCCTCAGAGGGATGAGGGAACGTGCCAAGGCCCTCTAGCTGGTTAAGGATGGTGCCAGCCCTTGGCAGTCAGCTCTGAACGGCTTCCCTCCAGCCAGGAAGAGCCACGGGGCTGGGTGCTTGTCATGGGCAGGCTGGGCTCCCTGGACTCCTGTCCTTGCTCATGGTGCCCCCTCCCTGGCCCCAGTGGCCGTCCCTGCCTCCCTCTGACTGTAGATGGTCAGAGAGGAGCGCTCCGTAAAAACACAAATAAACAAAGGAAGCAAGTTATGTAACATCTGGGCCAGTGCGTTCCAGAGAGAGGAGATGGCCAGTGCAAAGGCCCCTCGGTCCCTCCCTGAGAAGATGTCCCCTGGGCCTTCACAGCCCCTGCTTGCCCTCTGGCATTTGGCATGTCATAAGCTATCAGAGAAACAGGAAACCTTGGCCCAGGGACACCGGGCAACACAAGGAGCCCTAGGAAGAGAGGGTTCTGCAGCAGTCACCATGGAGTAGCTGGCCACTCCTGTGTTTCCAAATGGCATTTGAGAAGTTGCCTTCTGCTGTCTTGTGTTTTCACAAGACATTTTTACACATATTGTAAACTTTTCCATGCTAGCCATTCGTAAACACGTACGTCAGGCACATGACCGCCTTCCCTACGCTGTGTGGCATTACTCTGCCTATTTTCAGAGTATCTTTATCTTTTCAGCGGATACTCGACCCGTTACTAGATGCTGCACCTTCCCGTACTGTGCAGTCTGTGGATGTCCCTCTGATGGACAAGCCACGTGAGTGGCTCACAGGACACGTGGCCTTTTGAGTTTGGCACCGAGTCTTCTGGGCCCATCCACGTTGTTGGAATAGACACTTTAAGACAGGCGGGGATGTGCCGTGTCACCGAGTGCTGCCATCGGTACAATAGGTGGCAGTAACTCTCCCTGTCCCTGCTTGGGCTCCTCAGCTCCGGGTTCTAGACAGGAGCCCCTAGAAAGCTGCACTCCGTGCTCCCAGAGCTGGGCCTACTCCGCAGCATCCTAGGGTGTGTGCTGAGTGCTTCTCCTCCCCGCCTTGCTTCCCAGCTATGAAACAGAAGGAGTTCTCCGTGGCTTGAGTCAGCCAAAGGCCAGCCCTGTGTGCCAGTGTGAGGGCGGGGAGGGGAGGCTGGTGGTGAGTCTTACACTGTGATTGTCTTATTTATTAAAAATTAATTGAGGGGCCTTGATGCATCCGGGCTTGAGAGAAGCTGACAGGTCATGTGGTCTCTGAAAGCACAGGGCTGGTAATCCATTTTAAAAAACATTTTCTTCTTCTTTTTAATTTAATGGAGGAAATCATTAGCTGGGAGATTGGTAGCACTGATTTATTTCTGTTTTGGGGAGGGGGGGCAGGAGAGAAAATCGCCTCTAATTGCTGCTTGTTCTAGAAATACGCCAGCCAGACATTCCCATCGGCTGGGGCTGATGGGTGGAGGTAGGGGATTGCATCACGGCTTCTTCCCTTCAGACCCCGGGGGTGGCCAGGGGCTCTCCGGGTGCGGGTGGGTGGCCCGATGTCAGCAGCAGATCGTCACAACAGTAGCAAAGCTGTTCCTGGTACACAGGTCCCTCAAGTGAGCCCGAGCGGAGTGCATTGTGTAATGCTGGGGGGCGGTTCCCCCAGACAGCTCATGTTCAGGACTTCATTCCCAGGGAAACAGGAGCAGGACCCCCCATCTGGGAAAAAGGACTACGTGCCTCCTCTGGGGCTTCATCCGGTTCCAAGGGGAGGCAACTGGGTTCACCCTAAAAATAACCAGAGATGCAAACAGCCACAGAGTGCGAATGTTTTTCATATCTGTGGGCCAGATCATTTAAAGGTACAGCTGTTCAGCCACTGTCACAGTATGCTCATTCCTCCTAGAGCAGAGAGTAACCCTGAGGTGACCTGGGCTTTATAGGATCCCCATCTTCTAGCACCTCAAGTTGAGGTCTGCCTGTGAGCACCACACACCTGGCGGAGGATGAGTCACCTGTGACTCTCACAGGCCCTGGGAACCCATCACAAGGCAAGGGTACAGGCAGACCAAGTATGGCCACATCGTGAAGCCTCCTGGATACGAAGAAGGTGGGGTCCTCCTGACTTCAGTTTACAAGTCCGTCCAGCTCAGAAAAAAATGGTCAAAGTAGTTTTCAGATAGAGAGGATGGCTATAAATAGCTAGGCAGGCCGTGGAAAAGGTGAGAGGCAAATTGCCACCAAGGTTGTGGGCCTGGCTGCAGGCCCACCCTGCCGTTGCCCTGGCCTCGGCAGGCTCTGCTCCTTGGTGGGATGTGTGTTCCAGAACCTTCCTGGCCCCCACTCGCTTCTCTGCCGCACCCTGTACTGGTGGCTGCTGCCTGAGGCTCCTAGGCACCTTCACCTTGCAGCTGAGAGTCCTGTGTGGTGGCACCAGACTTGAATCCTAGCACTCAGCAGGCAGAGACAAGAGTTCTAGGCCAGCCAGGGCTACATGGAGAGACCCTGTTTCAGAAACAAAACAAGTAAATATTGTAATTAGGAATTCTTAGTTCTCTAGAAAATTCTCCCTGGATATGTCACATCTGAGAAGAATACCCTAAAGGGGCTAAGCCATATGAGAAAAGCCATTGTGAAATTTTGGGGAGAGTCCTGCCACACTGAATATGGCCACACCTTAGGGGTGGTGGGCTGGGGCTTCAGGACAAATGGTGACGTCATTGGGTAGGACCAGGAATTAAGTCTGCATATAACTCTGGCCTGGCACAGACCTGTAAAATGAGGTACTAACTCTGCAGCTTCTCCATCTATCTGTCTGTCATTCATTCAGCCATCCAGCCAGCCATCTGTTTCTCATTCACCTGTCTGTCCATTCATTCATCCGTCTGCCTGTGTATTCACCCATTATTCATCCATTCAAAACACTTGCTCAGTGCCTGTTGGTACCAGGTATTCTTTTTGTTGGCTTGGTTGGTTGTTTTTGTTTTTTTTTTTTTGTTGTTGTTGTTTTTCAAGACAGGGCTTCTCTGTGTAGCCCTGGCTATCCTGGAACTCACTCTGTAGACCAGGCTGGCCTCAAACTCACAGAGATTCCCCTGCCTCTGCCTCTCAAGTGCTGGGATCAAAGGTGTGCGCCACCACGGCCTGGCTGTGTACCAGGTATTCTTACACACATACCCTGCAATACAACAGTGAATACAGCCGTCCTAGAAACCTCCATTCTAGCAAGTGAGACAGACAATTGCTTCTTTTATTCGGTTGGTTTTGGTCTTTCGAGACAGGATTTCTCTATGTAGCTCTGGCGGTCCTGGAACTTGATCTGTAGATCAGGCTGGCTTCGAACTAACAGGGATCTGCCTACTAGATAAAATTCCAAGTCCTGAGAACAAAGGCATGTGCTACCCCACCCAGCCTGACAGACAGTTGTGGGAAGGAACGTGCCGCAGCCTGGATGGACTGCTGAGGGAAAGAAGTCGAGCACAGAGGGACAGTGGGGTAATTCCGTGCCGTAATGACGCCAACAAGTGGTCACTAGAGTCAGAGCCATAGAGACGGAAGGAAACCGGAGGGTACCAGAGTGGGCTGGGGCGGGGAGTTGGTGTTTAGGAGATGAAAGGCTATGGAGATAGTGGTGAGGGCGGCAGAGCCGTGCTAATGCTCTTAATACCACTGGAGCGAGCATCGCAAGCTGTCGGGATGACAAACGTTAACGTTTACCACCATCGGAAAGTAAAACCAGCAAGGAGTACATCGGATGTTAGGGGAGGGCTGATAGATGAAGAAGTGAGAGGACCGAGGGACTGCCAGGACAGGAGGCAGGGTTAACTGAGGAAGTGGTCAGCAGGCCCGAGGGGAATGGACCTGAGCAGAGGCTAGCAGGAGGAGACTGTGTGAGTGCAAAAGCCCGGGGGCAGAGGTGGACCCCGTCTGGACAGCAGGGATAAAGCAGGGGGGCCACTTGGGATTCTGAGCTGTGGGAGGCAAGGTGTCCCTACAGGTTTGTGGTGGGGCCCCTGGGCCCTTCTGCTACAGGAGCACGGGAAGCTGGGAGGTAAGGAAGAGCTTTGCAAGAAGGGAACAGGCCTGTCCTAAAGACAGGACAGCAGGAGTCTTAGAGCCTGACAGTCGCCCCTCCGTGTCTGAAGGCGTTGGTTCTGCCAGAGTGTGCCAATGCCTTGTGCAGAAGGTGGAGCACTGCCTGTGACCTGGGCATGTCCTCCTGTGCACCCAGCTTACTCTCTAGGCTGTCTGTAGTGCCACACACTCCGTAGAGCCATGTGAGGGACTGTCACACTGCACATTCCCACAAAGAGACCCCCGCCCCCCGCCCCGCCCCGTTCGGGGGGTAACAGCAGGAGAGACATCTGCACATGCGCAGTGTGGTGCCTTTTCCTCCTCATTTCATTCTGTGGTCAGCTGCCTCTGGACGTGGAGACCACAGAAACCGAAGCCAGCGGTGCTCATGGCTGTGTTTAAAGTTGCCCCCCGAGTCTTCGTGGCCACCTTACCGTGATCTCACATGACACGTTCAAGTGACTGGGGGCAGGAGAGCAATGGCGCACTCTTGTTTCTCATCCCTGCTGACTGGGGACAAATAGCTCTTTGCCTGGCCAGCACTGGAGGTCCCAGGAGAGTGAGCTTGTGCAACTCGCCATGCCAGGGCGGCCGTGGGCCTGGGACCAGCCTGGCTGGCTGAGCCTGGGAAAGTCACTTCACCTTCTGAGTGTGTCCTCCTGCGTCTGCAGAGGGAGCCGGCAGGATCAGCGTGTGCTCTGGGATCACGTGAGACCACCCATACACCAGAAGAGCGGCTGTGTGGGGGGATGGTCTCCTCGAGCCCCTGACCCTCAGCCTAGCCCGGCACCAAGGTTGTACTCTCTGCATAAGCACCCAGGGGTCTGCTCCTGCGTGGAGATGGTAGGCAAGTTCCAATCCCACAGCCCCTGCTCAGACATTCCGGGGATGACCTCAGGAGTTGCTGGGGGAGACAGGGAAGGGGGTGGTTCTAGAACCGGGCAGAGAGGAGGGTCCAGGTCGGGGGCAGAGACTCTTGTCATTATGGCGTCTGAGGAGCCGGCTCCCCAGCTGCTGTCTGTTTGGTTCCCTGAGAGCCCCACCACATACCTGCTGTCCTTCTAGATAGGCTCTGTCTGGTCCAGGCTGCAGACAGAAGCCTCCCCACGCCCATACAGCTGAGGTAAGTAGAGAGAGGAAGGGGAAAGAGGAGGTCGAGGAGCCAGGCCGTTTGTTTCTTCTGCCCTTACATCTGGCCTGTCCCTGGCAATCGCCACAGCTCCATGTGAACCTTCCATTTCAGATGTAAACAAAAGTGAAACAAAATGGAAGATTCCATTCCCCACTGACACTAGCCACATTTTGAGTCTCAGTGGCCACCTAGGCCTGCGGGGTAGCCACAGCTGCCCTGGCTGGTGGAGGAAGAGCGTGGCCATCCTCATGGAGCGTTCCATTGGGCAGCACTGGCCCTGTCTCTGAAGCAACCCCATGAGATAGAGACCTGAGAGGCTAAAGAGGGAACGCCGGTGGCGCTGGGACCTGGCTTCATCTGTCAGGTGTGTTGTGGGGGCACTTGTGAGTCCTCCTGCCCCGCTGGCCCCTTCCCTTGGACGGAGGCAACTGAGGCCACTTGGAGTCTTCTGCCTTCGCCCCCATGTCAGACATGGGTGAGCTTTGCTGATTGGGAAGTCAAGTGACTAAACATTCAGTGTAGGGTCTCTGGGGGCTTGTAGCTTAGAGACTAAATGCCTAGAGCCCTTCCTTGGGTTCTGAGGGGAAGAATAAGAGGATAACCCAAATGTAGAACTAATCCACATGGCCATCCTGTGGTGAGTAGATGTGTACAGTGAGCTCTGTCTGATCAATAAATGTTACTGTATAGGTCACGACGCTGTATGGACTCTGAGAACGTGACGGGAAGGGAAAGAAGGCAGTCCAGAAGGTTCCATGGGTATGAAACGCCGAGAGCAAGCCTGTCTGTGGACAGTAGATGAGTGCTGGCCAGGGGCTGGAGAGCAGCAGTAATGGAATGGCTCTCCATGGGAGCCTCTCAGGTGATGCAGATGTCTGCAGCTAGATAGACGTGGTGGGTGTGCCACTCCAGTGTGTGCTCTGATGGATGAAAATGGTGGGTTCTGTGCTGCATTTTACACTAGGAAAGTGAGAGCAAACAGTAGAAATCTGGGTAGTGAATACACGTATGTGCTCCTTATAACATTTTTCTGACTTATATGCAGGGACATTTTCATAACACATTGTTGTGTGTGGGGAGGCTAGGAAGAAATGTTTCCTTGGCTACAGGCTTCGGAGGCAAGGTTGGGTACGGTAGCCCTCAGATGTCCCTCAGGAGCAGCAGGCCTGGGGGCACTGCTGTTGGCTCCAGGCTCTGTCTATCCTGAGGTTTGCCAGCCAAGTGCACAGGGGAGGCAGGGTGCTGGATGCTGCTGCCCCCATGCTTCCAAACCGAGCAGGAAGGGACGCAGCGTCCGCAGCCTCAGCCTTCCATAAGTCTGCCGGCATCACGGTGCCCCAGCAGAGCAGCTTGGTAAAGAAAATGCTCGTCTCGGTTTGTACCAAGGAAATGAAAGCACAGAGATGTGACCAGACTTGAAATGGCCCCGTGAGCTCCAAAGGGAGAAGGGCGACTCCGGCCCAGGCTCCTGCGCTCCGCCAGCCACCTCGGCAGCACAAAGCCTGCCCGTGTGCATGCGTGCGCGCGTGTGTGAGGCTGGGGGCAAAGCCAGCCCTGCAGTGGGGTTTGCACAGCAGTTGCAAGGTTGGTAGTGTGCAGGTGGGAGATGCAGCCCAACGTAGGCCTGGTCCAGGTGCCCATGATCTGGTCCCTTCTCTAACCAGCAGGTGCCCAGCAGCCTCCCATCTTGGCTTCCTGCCTGGGTGGCTCTGGGCCACAGAAGCCTTCCTGTGGGTGGGCATCCCCTCCTTCCTGAGGGTGGGAAACTATGACTCAGGGTTTGGTGGCTGAGTTTTAGAAACAGGAGGCAAGGAGAGGCAGTGCTTCTAAAAAGCCTGGGGAGGGGACTGGGTCTCTCTATTCCTGGGACTTTGACCTTGGGTTCTGAGCGAGCAGCATGAGGTCAGAGGCATGAAGAGGCAGGTCCAGGGTCCCAGCTGAGGATAGATGAGCAAACCTAAGAGAAGGAAAGCTTTCTGGGCCTCCCTCTTCGTCGGGGTGGCGGTAGTGGAGGGCTGTTTTCGCCCACCGTCCAGCCATGCCCCACCCTGCCTTGGTGCACAGGCCAAGGCCTGTTTGGGGAGGTTGCCACAGCAGAACTGTGGGATTGGCTCTGCTGACGCCTTCCCCTGGCATATGGCTCCTCCGCCCGCCTTGAGCTCTGCCAGCGGCTCCCCTTTCTCCATGGCAACTTAGCTCAGTGGTCCCAGTGGAGGAGAGAGAATCAATTCTCCCTCCTTCCCGCCCTCCCGCTCCACTCCCCACCCCTTCCTCTCCCGCTTGCCTCCCTCTTTGCCTCGCTGTCCCTCCTGGTGGCTCCTCATGCAGCCAGGGGACTGCGTGCTGCCACTTCCAGCCGGGAGCTGTCCGTAGCAGCGCTACAGGCTGGGGGCGGCTCTCTGAGACCTGCTGCACATGGGCAGCCAGCAGAGTCTACAGGATGGGGCTGCTGAACGGGGCCCCAGCCAGCTCCTGCTGCGTGAGGCCGACCCTGGTACTCTGTGCCCCCCCTCTCCCTTACCTCACGTTGGCTTCCTGAAAGGTAATTTTCTGCTTCTTCTTGAACGTGTCTCAGCCTTAGGCTAGGTTTATTAGCGAGGAAGGCTCCATCTGGTCAAGGGTCTGTTTGCTTTCTCTTCGAAAAGCTGGGGTAGAGGGAGAGCTGCAGGGAGAGGCCTGTCCTGTCCTGTCTGAGCACTGCCTGCTGGAGCAGAGTTAGGATGCCCAGCTCCTCTCCTGAGTAGCCCAGCTCCGGTCTTCCTCTGGGGGCCGGAGGGCCGGTGTGGCGCTGCACTTCCAGTTTTGCCTGTGATAGCTAGAGCACGAATAGGCTGCTTTCCTGGAGCGTGGTCGCCCCAAGGAAAGGAGGAAATTTAGAGCCGCTCACGTGTCCCCCAGTGGGCAGAGCTCTGGCTACAGGCTGCCTGGCTTTCTGACTGACTAGTCCTTAATCCTCTGAAAATGGGCACTCAGCGTGGGGGTGTTTTGTCCCTCCACCAAGATTTCAAGAGGATGATGTCAGCAGACTCATCTCCCAGCTGGCTTCAGGTGGACTGGTCCTGCAGGTGTGTCCCGTGTCCATCTTCCGACGCCCCTATTGGCTTGGGACTGCCACTCAGCACAGCTGGTTTCAAATGGGATTCTAAGAACGGTGGGTGAGCATCGCCGTCTCCTCTCACCCTGGCATGGATGCAGAGAGGGAGTTGGTGATGTTGACCCCTCCGGAGCCCAGCCCGGGGGGAGGGGGGCAGGCAGCTCCCCGATTGCCGCTCCTTCCTGTGCAGCTGGCAGTGGAAAAAAGAACCCTCGGTTGTCAACAAGAACATCTCCTGTGTTGATGGAAAGTGAGGGCCGAAGAGACCGGATTTAGCACCCAGTTCTTAGAAGCTACAGGCTTGAATGGTGTCTGCGTGTAAGCCCTGTCTGATCTTTAAATAGAAAAACGCACACCAAGTAGCCCTGTCTGACTCATGGGGAGCATCAAAGTTTGGTGTGGTTTCAGGGAATCCGTATCCAACTCTGAAAGAGGTGCACAGTTCAGGGGGCCGCCTCCAGAGGAGTTGAGCCCTTCGGGTCTGGACCCGAGTCGTCAGGTGATATGAGGCTAAGGGTGAGATATACCATAGCTCTCCGAGTGACTAGAGGATAGTAGACTCAAGATCGTGTTGCTAAGTCAGGCCGTGGCCACCTGATTGTGCTCTGCTTTTGATTCCACATTCTCCCTGACAGATTGCTTTAATACTGGCATCAGAACCTCGACAGCAGCTCAAGGCCTGTGTAGCTCTGTGGTTGGGTGTATCTCCCCCATAGCCCCTTTCTTTAAAACTGCGTGAGAGCCGCCGCAGACTCTGTGTTCCTGGTGCTTCCTTCCGAGCAGGAAAACAGCCCTGATGGGCAGGGCAAGGAGTCTGTGTGTCTGCAGACACAGCAGAGCTCCCAGGCTCTGCACTCACCGAGGCCCTCCTGGCATCTGGTGCTGTGCAGGCTTCTTAATGGCATTACCCATGTCTGGGTTTGCTGGCTGGCTGTGAATTCTGATGGGTTTACGAGCTGATGATGCTGGGGAGGCCGCCGTGCGCTGGTTTGGTTTTGTTTGTCTAAGAACGGAAAATATGATGTGACGCGTAAAGGCAAGCAAGCCCCTTTCTCCCCTCTGCTCTTAGCTTCTGTGGGAGGCTGGTCCAGTCCTGCCACCGTCACCGCTGCTATCACAGCCAGGTCCCTCTGTCCTGGAGTCTTTCATGCTCCCCCAGGACCCGACCCATTCAGAAAGGACAGCCAGAGCTGAGCTCAGGAGGGGAGGGAGGCTCCACCTCCCACTGCTTGCATCCCAGGTGGACCCTGAGTGCCGCCCTCCAGCCCTGCCTCCTCCCACCCCAGTCCTTGCTTAGTGGATGCTCTCAAGTGTAATTGTGATTGCAAGATTGCACAGAGTGCTGACTTACTTGAAAGCATCTTGGGGAGCTGCAGAGGGTGTGAGAGCAGCTTGGAGAGGTGGGAACCCTGGCTGCCGATGGCTTCAGCCAGCGAGAGTGTGGAAGGCTCATTCCAGGAAAAGTGGAATAATCACCGTATTGGCTGGCTTTCAGGCGGTGAGTGGTTCTTTCTTCTTTAATTTGACAGGAGCGCCGGGATTCAGGGAAGGGATGGCGGGAAGCTGGGGAGCCTGTGGCTCACACAGACCTCGTGAAGCCCTGACGCTGTAAGGAGAAAGTGTGATTCATTTCTCCCATGCTAGGTTGACCACCCAGGCTGTGCCCAGGCAAGACAGGCGGCTCTGCCCCTGGTGAGAGTCCTGGGGCTCGGGACAGCGTCTCTCTGGAGGCTGAACCTCTGTCCCCTCCTAGAGCACCCTGTCTTCAGCTCTTAAAAAGTCTCTTGGGGGCTATTAACTGAATGACCCCAAGTGTGCAGGAAGAAGGAAGCTCCTGAGTTCAACACTTCCCTGTGCTCTTGTGATTTCCTTGGACACACACATACATATGCATGCACACATGCTCATATCCTCGTGCACTCACGCACATGTCTACATGCATGCACACATGCAACACTCGTTCAGCCTGTTCCTGCATCTGCACACACATGTGTACGCATTTATGTGCATATCACACAAACACCTGTCCCTTCTGCCGGAGCTCATATATCTGCTGACATTCTGCTCATGCTCGTATGATCTTAGTAACTGTCCCCAGCATCACACACTTGTGCCTGTCCTCCTTTCTTGTCAGCCCACTGTCTCACCTGAGCGAGGCAGATTGTCCGTGTCCACCCCTCTTCTCCTGTCCCTCTCTCCGGGGGAGGGAGGGTTACAGAGATTGGCATGTTTTTCTGCAGATGCTCACTGACTGAAGAGGTATCAGAGAGAGACTGATAAGCTTAGGATGTGCTGAGACACAAGCCTCCGTGAGTGGTGTGTATGTACGAGTGTCTGATATGTGTGCATATGTAGTGTATGTGCATCTGAGAGTGCATTGCATGTGTGGTTTGTGATGTGTGTATAAATGTGAGGCATGTGCTTGCCTATGTGTTTTTTTGTGTGTAACTGTACATATAGGTGTGTAGCCTGTGAAACATTTACATTATGTGTGGATGTGGATGTGTGGGCACATACATTTATTTGTGTGTATATATGTGTGATCTGTGTGTGTGTGTGTGTGTGTGTGTGTGTGTGTGTGTGTAGTACCTGTGATGTGAATGATTGGGGCTGTGTGCATGTGTATATTTGGTATTTGTATGACTGTGATATGTTATGTGGAGGTATGTGCATATGTGTGGTATGTTCCTGTATAATTTGTGGCATGTGTAGTGTGTTGTGTGTTTGCATGTGAGCCATGTTCAAGGTGTGTGTGTGTAGTACGTCCATTGTATTTGTAGTATATGTGTAATATGTGTATCTACACGGCTCTGAAAGTATGGTGTTTGTGGTGTTTTGTGTGTGAATGTGAGGGTACAAATGTACACATCTGTGGAATGTATATGGTTTGTTATATGTGAGGAGGTATATAAATATTATATATGTGACATATGTTATGTATGTATGTGGGTATTGGTGCTCTGTGCATATGAATGGTGTACTGATGTGTATATGTGTGATATGCTATGGATGGTGTGTTTGTGTGTGCACTGGGATATGTGCAAGCATGTGTGTGTGTGCTCATGTGTAGTGTTCTGTGAGCATGTGGATATTTGTGTGGTGATTCATGTGTGTGTGCTTGTGGGGTGTTTGTGTGTTATATGTAATATGTGTGTGTGTTTTCTGTGTGTGCGTGTGTGTCTGTGTGTACATCTACGTTGCTCATTTTTGGATGTCTGGGCACCCTGGCTCCCTAGCCCTTTTCCATTTACTGGCTCAGTTTCCAGAGAAGCTCTGGGCAGATGTTCTTGTGTTGACTGTCCTGGAGTCTTCCTGACCGGTGCATGGGTACCTTCAGCATCCCATCTCATCGGATGCTGCGCAGACACTCCATTTTACAAGCTCACAAGCCTCTCGGGGTTTGAGCAGCCTGCGCCATGAAGCTAGAGCCAGCACTCAGCTCTCTGGACTAACTCGTTCACCACTCACGTGTACAGCTGCTCTGTGTGGCAGGCCCGTGGCTGCAGGTGAAGACCAGACCCGGCTCTTGCCTTGGGAGGAAGCCTGCAGGGGTCAGCTAAGCAAGCAGAGGGGCCCCAGGAAGGCAGCGCTTGTCGCACTGGCCTCCCTTCCCTCGGCCCCCGCTGTCTGAGGAGGAGGCTTGGGAGTGGCAGTGGGAGGAAGCCCTGGGCCCAGCCCACCCTCCACTCATGGCCCCTACCCAGTTCAAGATTCAGCTATGAAGCAGAGAATACAGCACACCCGGACACCTGCCCCCCACCCCACCGCTTTGATTCTGCTATAGACTCAGTACGCTTCTCCTTTAGATGTTGTCCCACGGTCTGGAAGGCTGTCTGCGTTGCGGTCTGTTTCCCTTATACTGGGGTCTTAGATATCAGTGGCTTATGTGGTAGGAGAGGCTGTGTTCATCACGGGACCTGTGCCTCAGTTTCCTGTCTGTAACAGGGAGATACCACTGTCTGCCTCACATGCCTGACATTCAGGACAGATGTGAAGTGCTTGGAAGTGGACAGTGTGTCTCGGCAGTGGTGGAGGTGGTTGGGCTGTTGTAGGCAAAGCATTGCAGTCGCATCTTTCATGGGCCAGGACAGATACACACCCATTTAGACACACACATGGGGAGAGGGCACAGACATAAAGGAGGCAATGCAAAAGGCGAGTAATCAGCAGTTCTTGGTAGATACACGGCAGTCCTTGTTTTCATTTTATAGTTTTTCTGAAAATTGGAGATTATGAGAAAAGATATTTTTTTTAAGCCATAGACACATGAGGACTCTTCCTAAAAGGTTGATAGAATACGGGGTGACACACAAGTGTTCTTACCCTAAAGAATCCTTCAGAAGTGAAATGAATAAAAACTGGAGGTGACAGCCCTGGGATGAGGTGAGGGAGCCATGAGGACAGAGGCTGCATCTTCTAGGTTACCAGCCTGAGGCAGTTTCCCCTAAACAGGGTTGGGGTCCAGGGTCTGGGCTCAGGAGTCAGGCTCCGTTGCCCAGAGTGGCCCTTTCACGTGCTAGGTGAGAGAAGGCTGGGTCTTACACTGTTGTCAGGACTGGGTGCTGGTTCTTTGTTGGCTTGTTTACTTTGGTTTTTTGGGTCCAACATGCATAATGGGTTCCCTGTAAGCAGCATGCAGTAGTGGGTCCCCTGTAAGCAGCATGCAGTACTGGGTCCCCTGTAAGCAGGATGCAGTGGTGGGTTCCCTG